TTTTGTTTGTTTTTCACAAAAATGGTCATTTGAGAGTTGTTCCTTTGCCACATACATGCAAATCTATAAGAAAGATGATATTGTAGCCATCAAGGAAATGGGTACTGTTAAAGGCATGCCCCACAGATGTTACCATGGCAAAATTGGAAGAGTCTACAGTGTTACCCTGTATGCTGTTGGCACTGTTGTAAACAAACGAGATAAGGGCACGGTTCTTTCCAAGAGGATTAATGTGCGTATTGAGCATATTAAGCACTCTAAGAGCCGAGATGGCTTCCTGAAACCCGTGAAGGAAAATTATCAGAAAAAGAAGGAAGTCAAAGAGAAAGTTACCGTTACCTGGGTTCAACTGAAGGGTCAGCCTGCTTCACCCAGAGAAGCACACTTTGTGAGAACCAATGGAAAAGAGCCTGAGATGCTGGAACCTAGTCCCTGTGAATTCATGACATAATAGGTGAAAAAAAATAAAAGATCACCGGACTGTAAAAATGTTTCTCTAGGACTGGCTGCAGTGGCTCACGCCTGTAATCTTAGCACTCTGGGAGGCTGAGGCTGGTGGATCGCTCAAGGTCAGGAGTTCGAGACCAGCCTGAGCAAGAGCGAGACCCCGTCTCTACTAAAAAAATAGAAAGAAATGATCTGGACAACTAAAAATATATATAAAAAATTAGCCGGGCATGGTGGCACATGCCTGTAGTCCCAGCTACTCGGGAGGCTGAGGCAGGAGGATCGCTTGAGCCCAGGAGTTTGAGGTTGCTGTGAACTAGGCTGACGCCGCGGCACTCACTCTAGCCCGGGCAACAAAGCGAGACTCTGTCTCAAAAAAAAAAAAAAAAAAAAATGTTTCTCTTCATTGGAAGTGTGGTGTCCCGTTCCCCAAAGAAATATTTAAAGCAAATTTTAATTGTGTACTAAAAATGAATAAATTAAAAAAAATAGATTCAGAAGTTTGTAAAGAGATTTTTCCATACCCCTTCTGTTTTTCTCCTCTCTCACCCCCAACACTCTTCAGAGATTTTCACTGTTAATACCTTCGTGTAGGTCCTGCCAGACCTTTTTATGTTTTCTTTTTTTAATGCACATAGAAACACATATAGACATACAGAATGAGTATTTGTTTTAAAAAATAGAATGTTTTCTTCACTTAATAGTATATATCATGGAGAGCCTTCATGATAGTATAATACATATAGATTTACCTTTTTTGCTTTAATAACTGTCTATTATCACAAAATATATATGTACCATACACACTTTTATTACAAATCAAGAGCTATTTTGTTATTACAATAAAACTGTGACAAACCCCCTCAGACACATATTCTTGGCCACTTGTATATTTTTGTGGATAGGATATCAGAAGTGGATGCATTAGGCCAGAGGGTATGTATATTTATAATTTTGGGGAGCTATTGCCAAATGACCCTCTAAAATTAGCCAGCTTACACTTCAATCGTGTGTGCAAATGATCTTATACCCTCTCCAACACAATGGTGTCAATTTTTTACACTTTTGTCTGATGGATAAAAACTATTTTTTCAGTTTAATTTCTTAATTATTAGTAAGGTCTACATCTTTTTGTATGGTTGTTAGCTATTTGTAATTTTTTGGTGAATCACCTATTCATGTTCTTTGCTTTGTGTGCTGTATTGTGTTGTCCTTTACTTAGTGATTTGTAGGAGCAATTTATATATCAGATATTAACCCATTGTCGATATATGTAGCAAACATTTTCTCTTAGGCTGACGTTTTATAGTATTAAATAGATAGATTTTATTATTCAATGAATTCAAATCTGTTTGTTGTTTTTCTTCATGGCTTCTTGCTTTTGTATCTTGTTTAGGAAAGCCTGGTGAAGTTGTTTAATATTTCCGAGCTTCAATTTCTTCATCCTAGGAATAAATTATACTTCTTAGGATTGATAAGAAAGTTATATGAAATGAGTGTAAAAATGTCTAGTGTAAAAATGTCTAAAAATGAGTTTAAAAATGCCTGGCGAACAGCAGACACTTTGTAAATATTGTTTATTGATGCACTTGACAAACATCTATTAAGTTCCTCCTATGTGCCAGTCATTGTGTTAGGTGTAGAGGATGTAGACAAGACACTGTCTTCCTTCAAAGAAGGGGAATGGTGTTATTTTCTCCTGAACTGATTACAGTATAATACTATTAGAGGCCAGGCATAGTGACTCACGCCTGTAATCCGAGCACTTTGGGAGACTGAGGTGGGAGGATCACTTGAGGCCAGGAGTTTGAGACCAGTCTGGGTAATGTAGTGAGACCCCCATCTCTACAAAAAATTAAAAAATTAGCCAGATATGGTGGTTTGTGCCTGTATCCCAGCTACTTGGGAGGCTGAGGTGGGAGGCTCTCTTGAGCCCAGGAGTTTGGTTGCAGTGAGCGATGATTATGCCACTACACTCCAGCCTGGGCGACAGAGCAAGACCTTGTCTCTAAAGAATGAACAAACAAAAAAACCCTTAAAAGCATTCTTTTTGTTACTTTTTTGGAGATTACATTTTTTCCCCCTCAAATCATTAGATAAAATAACTTGTGCTCTTTTCTTACTCAGTGGTTTGGTTTGTTTTCAATAGGATTTTGTTTGTTTTTCACAAAAATGGTCATTTGAGCTGTAAGGCAAAAGTGCAGCCTCCTAGGCTGAATGGTGCAAAGACTGGAGTTTTTTCTACAAGGAGCCCTCATCGTCCCAATGCGATAGGACTGACCCTGGCCAAGCTGGAAAAGGTAGAAGGTAACCCATTTCATTTCTGCTTTTACGTTTTTCTTCTTACCCTAAAAAATCTTATAAAATAAACAGAGCATTTACCACTGGCTGCTGTTCAGATGGGTACCAATAGTGTTAACTCCTGAGAACCACTACACATTGAAGAAAATACAGTGATTAAAAGAAAGTTAGCACTGAAAACCCTTTAAAGTAAGCTCTCATGGGATTCTCAGAGTTTGTTTGTATCATTGCATATATCAAAACCTATTATTGTTTTAAAATAACTCAGATTTTATAATCATTAAATTAGTAACCAAATTTTCTCTGACTTCGAATGCAATAAATACAAAATGATTAAAAATAATTGGATACTTTCAAATTTAACACACAGTGACTAGTTGTACATGCACATGTGGTAGGCATGTGGGGTGGTCGTAGAACATTCCTTCCTTGCAGGCTTGAGCAAATGGATGTATATTGTGGCTGCAGTGTAGCTGTCAGCTGTGCTATGTGGCAGGAGTCAGGGATGGATCACACTACTGGATTGAACACTGGTCAGATTGTGGAAGTATCTGTATAGAATACCAGATTAGTTTTAACTATGTGGTCGTCTATAACCTACTTAGATATTTTTGGAGAGCATTCCATTCTTGAATCACTCTGACTCAATAAGTACACTTGTTAGAAAGGCAAAAGGTGAAATGGCAGGTAGTCTGGGAGTCGAAGGCCATTCCAGGCTTTGGCCTACTGTTCGTAAAGTGGACCAAGAAGCAGGACCTGTCCAATCCGTGAGTCCACAGGATATTTTTTTGAGGATCTCATGAGATAAAAGCTGTAGGAGCACTTTTCAAGCCATTGGGCACTAAAGAGATGAGAGCAGTTATTTTGCTTGTTCTTTGCTAGAACTTGAACTCCCCCGTTGGATTATACTCAAATGGGCCTTAGGTCGTTTTCTCAGAAAAACTCAGCAGCTGATACACCCTGAGTTTTATCAGTTTGTAATGGCTAAACAACTTGGGTAACTGTACTGGGACATTGTATGATCATTCACGCAACCCACCATATTTTCTAGCACTGAATGTGTGCCAGGCATTGTTCTAGGCATTGGAGGTATAGTAGTAAACAGATAAAAATCAGATAAAAATCCCTGCCCTAAAGAACTTAATGTCTTGGGGGGAGATCAAGTCAAAAAGTTCAAAAGACAGACACAATGGTACTGTAGATGTTACTGCATAAGCTTTATGACAACTACTAGTGTTTGTGTGATGCTTTACAGTTAGTAAAGAGTATTTGTGTATGTTATCTCACGATGGCTCTGTGGGTTTGATAGGGTGGCAGTCCCCATTTCATGGATGAGGAAACTGAGGCTCTTTAATGTTAGATAAATTTCCTAATAGCATCCAGCAAGGTGGTTGTCTGACTCTAAATCCCATGAACTCTTATCTATGCTGCAGTGTCTTCCTTTTTCCTGCAGACATTGTGAGGCATGATCCATCATTTAAAAAGTCTAGAATCATCTTTCCAAAGTTCCAGGCTCATTCACAGTAAGTGTATTTTAGAAATCAGGGTTCTGTGTTAATCATGTGTTTCTTAAATGGAGACAGAATCAAATGTGACCACATGCAGTTTTCTGGCTCTTGTTTAGCTAGTTTCCCAAGGGTCTGGTTAGTAGACAGTGTACCAGAAGCAGAAACTGGACAGCAGCTGTCCAAGTGGGACAATAGGAGACCTGTCCTTAGTATTTGGTAATGGTGACTTACGTGCTGCTTAATTGTTTGAGTCTTGATGGATGTATTAGTTTTATATTGCTGTCTAACAAATTACCACAAACTCATCAGTTTAAATAACACACACTTATTTTGTGTTTGAAACATGATTATGTTTTTGTGGGTCAGGAGGATGGGCACAGCCTCATTGGGTCCTCTGCTTAGGGTCTCACTAGACTGCAGTTGTCAGCTGGGATGAGTTCTTATCTGGAGGCTTGACTAGGGAAGAATCTGCTTCCAAACTCGCTCAGGTTGTTGGCCACATTCACTTCCATGTTGTTGTAGGACTGAGGGCCCAGCTTCTTGCTGGTTGTTGCCTGGAGGCTGCCCTCAGCTCCTAAAGGCAGCTTGTTGTTCCTTGCCACGTGGGCTTTCCCTGCATGCCTGCCTACTGCATGTAGCCTGCAAGGAGAGTCTCTTGAGTGAGTCCACCAGCAAGCAGGAGTCATATAGAACCACTGGAGGGATATCACACCTCTTTTGCTATATCTGTTGGTTAGAAGCAAGCACGCTCAAGAGGAGGATTATACAAGGCCATGAACACCAGGAGGTAGGGGTCCCGGGGGCCACCTTAGAGTCTGTTCGCTATAGCAGAAGCCCTCTTTGGTCCCACAGAGAGATACTGAGGATTGTTATGTGCCTGGAACAGAGGTAGAAGCACCAGTGAAGCAAAGATGAGTCAGCCCCGGCTCAAGGGGGCTGCCCACTGTCTAGGGATGGGGGCTCCGAACAGGTTCCTGCCTGACCATGGGGAAAGGGCTCTAGCAAAGGTGTGTGCACAGGCTCCTCTGGGGGAACCGTAGAAAAGAATGCTAATGTCTGGAAGAGCCAAAAAGGCTTTATAGAAGACGTGTTCTGTGAGGGCCTCAAAGATCAAGTAGGAATTTGACAGGTAAAGAAGAGGGTGGGTTTCCAGGTAGAAAGAAAAGTGTATGTTGGCACCTGGTGTGTGAGAGAAAATTGTAATCTCAGTGAGGCATAAGCAGATGGTGTTAGAGGGTCTCGGGCTATAATTGTATTCTATTAGTTGCGCTATTCTTAATTGTTTGTATTTTTAAGAGGGTCTTTTTTTTTTTATATCATAGGTGGAGCTATATACCTTTCTGGAATTGACATGATACATGGCACACCTGTACTAGACATAAAGCCCTACATAGCTGATTATGACTCGCCACAAAATTTGATGGAGCCTTTAGAGGATGTTAATTTGCAGAATAACCAACATAAACCAAAAACCGTGTCCCGCTCTGATAGTTGTGATCAGCGACAGTTCTCAGGACTCAAGGAGCCACAACCCCACCATAGCACTAAGGAAAAACCTAAACATCCTGAAGACAGAACTTCACAAGACCACTGCGTGGAACACAGCAACACAGCAAAAATCCAGCAACCCTCGCCCAAGCACGAGGAGATGGCAGTGGATTTTGGTTTGGAATCAAGAAGTGATCAAAGTCCAAGTGTGGCAGAAGAGCAGATTAGTCCAAATTGCCTGGAGAAGAGCTCTTCGGAGGAAGGCACCGATGAGAGGCTGAGGGGAGTGGAAGGAGCAGCGGTCCCGCAAGGACGCAGTGCAGAGACCCAGCCCACGCCTCTCTGTCCTGCCAGGACACCTGCCCGAGCCTCCCACAGTGTGGTTCCTGCCTGGGTGAAGAAGGCCCCTGTGGCCACATTAGAAGTGCGGTTTACTCCTCATGCTGAGATGGACCTTGGGCAGCTCAGTTCAGGAGGTGAAATAGGTACCTTTGGTTTCTTGGTTCTGAATGAGGGATGGACTTTTACTATGAGATTTAGCCAAGCTTGGTATTTCTGAGGGCAGTTATTAATATATGGAGTATTTGTCAGTATGACTGTTTTTAAGAAACATGGGAGTATAGATTAATATTTGGGCATCACCATCGTATGGCAACTTTGATTTGACAGCTACAGGCGCTCAGTAAAGCGTTTGCAGAGAATGGTGCTGCCTCGTGAGGCGGCCCATGATTTACAGCCCCTTGTCTGCCCGCTACAGTAGTTCTTGGAGCTTCCAGACATCATTCAGAATAAGTCTTCTCATCTGCTTCACTATCTGACTAGAGAAATCTTGCATTTTATTCTGACAGTCATGTAGCTGATAGCTTCTGGCACAGGGCACTCTAGGGGCCCAGAGTAAGAGGGGAATAACCTCTGAGCACAGAACTGTCCCCCAAAAGTCCCAGCACTAGAGACATGCACTTGACTGCAGAAGAGAGGGCACGGGGCTCTTACTGGGAGCCTGTTACTTTAACACGTGGTTCTTAACAAACGCTATCTGGTTTCCCCAGCCTATAGCAGATCCCAAGCTATAGGATTGAATCTAGAATGAAGGAAGGAATTGTTAAGAGGTGGATATACTGATGCCAGTAAGAAATAGCCAGTTAGCAAGGAGATGTCAGATTTCAAAAAGGTAGAAAGCTGTTCTTTGTGTTACAACTCAGTAAAGAGCCAACATGGCCATATAAAAAGGGAGATTCATTCATTCATTCTACAGTTGTTCACTGAGCTTCTGCTGGGTGCCAGACACTGGTCCAGGCTGTTGGCATACATCAGTGAACAAAACAGACCAAACAAATCCCTGTCCTCATGGAGCTTGCATTCTAATGGGAGGAGAGAGACAAACCAAAAACATAATAAGTAAGCAAATAATTGTACTAAACATATAAAAACATTACATGTTAGAAAGTGATAAGGGTTATGGAAGAATTTAAAAAGAATAGAGCAGGGGCTGTGGTGTTACAGTTTTAAATAGGTGGCCAGAGTAGGCCTCACTGAGAAGATACACACAAGCAAAGGCCAAAGAGGTGAAGGAGTGAGCCAGCCTGTCCAGGGAAAGGACATGCCAGCCTGAGGGACAGCATTGCACAGCCCCAAGGCAGAGGGTGCATGGCATGTTTGAGGTCACGTGGCCAGAATAGACTGAGAAAGGGCAGAGTGGAAGGAGCTGAGGTCAAAGAGGCTACAGGGAGGGGATGAGGTCACACAGGGTTTTATAGGCCACCGTAAGGACTTGAGTTTTGATCTGGGGAGCAGTGGAAGGCAGAGGAATTTGATGTCAATATCCCCAGGGAACAGGGGGCCCTCTCTGTAGTCAGATCACTGCCTGGAGTGGGCTATGGGTGATTTCTTAGTGTTCTGGGTATGTGTGGGTTCTCTTTCTTGTGGCTTTCTGACAATACTGGGACTGTCATGCATTTCCTTGTCTCTGTTCTGAGAAGAAAATGTCAAGGAATTAAAGTCTACATTGAGTATAGAAAAGTAACATTTTGGTTAACAGAAAATGAAAGTTTACCTCACCTAGTTAGGAAATTAAGGAAAAATACCATGATTTTTTTGTTCAGTAAAATAAAAATTTGGGGGTGCACAAGTTAAATCTAATGACAATAAATACCATTTGAAGGTGACATTCTCTGTAATGACCAAATAGATTTCCAAACCCTGTTCATTTCAAGTGATGTTTAAGGAACCAACTAAATTCCATACTGAAGTTTGTTGTAATGAAATTCAACCTGCAGTAAGTTGTGTTCTTCTCATTGCAGATGTTGGTCAGGTGTCATTTAAATATTTTCAATCAGCAGAGGAGGCAAAGCGTGCCATTGAGGCCGTGCTGTCAGCCGATCCTCGGTCTGTGTACCGCCGGAAGCTCTGCCAGGACCGCCTTTTCTACTTTACTGTGGACATAGCACATGTCACTTGCTGGTTTGGCGATGGCTTTGCAGAGGTTCTAAGGATCAAGCCGGCTTCTGAGCCTGTTCAGATGGCTGAGCCTGTGGAGTCCTTGGAGGCTTCATCGCGTCTTTAGACAGCCTGATTGACCTTCGGTGGCTTCTGGATTTTCTGTACAAGCTAATGATGTGCAGATAGGCAACACTTTGTGATCTCACTGCTTTGATTGACTTGGGCTGTTCAAAAATATTTATTTGAAAAACATGTATTTTAATAAACTTAACTGAGATATATAGAGAAATTGCTGTGTGCTTTTTGATCTGTTGATATTAAAGAATCCATAGGCGATACTGTCTTTGATTTCTGAAAGAAGCCGATTATTCTTGGCACACTTGATAAAATTAGACAGAGATCATTCCAGCAGAAACTTTCAACTTGAGGGGATTTGTTCAACAGTTCACATTGGTTTTCTGTCTGGAAAAGCCTGCCTCTTTATTATATTCTAAATCAAACTGAGTTACTGTATCTTGGGAAACTAACAAATCAAAAACAAGTAGTTATAGATATCTTTAGAGATTAAACCCTATGTTTCAAAGATTTTGTGACACATACACACATACGTATATATAGTTAATCTGATTCTAAAATAGAGACTCTCTGAGATTTCTTGGGATATCTTTGTATCAGAAAAGAAAATCACCCCCCCAAAATTCAAGAAAATAATTACTGGTTTTTTAAATTTTATTTACTCTGTGACTATTGAGAACCTCCTATGGGTTAGGTTTTGGTGATAAAATGAGAAGAACAAGATGTAGTTCTGGTTGCAAGGCATGGTTAGTGGAAGAAGTAAGATATAAGAAAATTACTGTATTACAGTTTGATTGATACAGTAATTAAGTCTGTACACAGTTCCTGTGTAGTACTATACAAACAGTTGTAAGAATGTATTACCTATAGGTGATTTTAATGACATGATCTGAGATAATTGAGGATTTATGATCATTGTAACCAAATTAGGCACCTGTCAACATGACAGGCTTTCCTAATCACAATTTTAAATCTTTTTTTTTTTTTTTTTTTGAGACAGAGTCTCATTCTGTTGCCCGGGCTAGAGTGCCGTGGCGTCAGCCTAGCACACAGCAAACCTCAAACTCAAAGTCCTGGGCTCAAGTGATCCTCCTGCCTCAGCCTCCCGGCTAGCTGGGACTACAGGCATGTGTCACCATGCCTGGCTAGTATTTTTTTCTATATATTTTTAGTTGTCCAGCCAATTTCTTTCTATTTTTAGTAGAGACGGGGTCTCGCTCTTGCTCAGGCTGGTCTCGAACTCCTGAGCTCAAATGATCCACCTGCTTCGGCCTCCCAGAGTGCTAGGATTACAGGCATGAGCCACCGCGCCCGGCCCACAATTTTAAATCTTAATAGCCGATTGAGCATGGTTTTGAAATGAGCCTCACTGCCTGTGATTACCTGTGCTGAGTCATTTGTGGCTCATGACGCTGTACTGAACCAAACTGGTTTGTAGTTGTTGTCTTTGTCTTTGATGCTTGGGGAAGCATCTTTAATTTGATTTTTTTAGAGCTTTTTATCTTAAAATAATTATGGATTCATAGGAGGTTGCAGAAATAGTACAGAGGTCCAATGTACTCCTCACCCAACTTCTTCCAGTGGTTACATCTTACATAACTGCAGTGTAATGTTAAAGGTAGAAAGTTGACATTGGTGCAATCCACCCTTTAGTTTGATTTTGATTTCTTTTCTCTTAAAAGTTATTTTGAAGCTGAGTCAGGGCTTGAAGCACAAAATGTCAGTATTTAACATGCAACACAATGACTCTGGGAGGTGATAACAAACCAGCCTCTAACAAGAGGACTATTAAGTTGTTTGGGGGTTTATTATACATTCTCAGGATTTTAAATCTAAAAAGGATCTTAAATATAATCCAGCTGGGTTTTCTGCCAGTTCATGAGTCTCCTCAATATTCCCAGTGTTTGGCCGTCCAGGCCCTGCCGAAACACCCTCAGAGATTAGGTCTTCACCCTGAGCTGTGCAGCTCGTTCTGTATGGGTAGCGCTCATTATTAAAATGTTCCTCCTGTACATGAGATCGACTCTGTTCTCCAATAACCCCACCCACGAGTGGTGCCACTCAGAGTGGGGCTGGCCACCCTACCAAGTTAGCCTGTCAGACCACCCCACCCCTTGGTTTTCTCTGGGCTGAGAACCCCCATTTTCTTCAGCTGTTTCTCATACAGTGTGATCTCAAGCCTCTCCCCACCCTAGTCTTTCTTGGGTCCCCATGTGAGTGTTCATCTCTGTGGGCATGTACATTGTGTCCTCTGTTAGGGAATTTGTATCTTTAGTTCATGAACCTCCATCTTTCAGAGAGAAATAGTTTGAAGCACAAATTTGAAACAAGCTGTCTGTTCCTTTTCATCTTGGAAACTTTTATTTATTAAGAGAATTTATTCTCATCCTTTACTGTTTACATTCTTCCATCCAAGCTTATTCCACGAACACAGAGAATTAAATATACTTGATTTGTAGAACAAAAGAAATCAAAGATAAAAGTTCTCTCAAACGTTCCATCAAGTAGTTTAAAAACTGTCATTGCTTTCAAGTCCTGAATCAGGGTTATTGGTGTACCTCTATGGTTATGTGTATGTTTACACACACACACACACACACACACACACACACATGCAAATACACACTAATCCTGAAAACGAGATGGAAATAAACTACAAGAAAATAACCCCAAAGTGCTATAATTATGATTATCAAAAATAGTGTGGCAGCTGGGAAGTAGTTTT